TAATCTCTACTATGTGCCAGGTCCAATTATATGGCTATAACTACATCTATCTTACATCTATATTTATCCATATATCTATAGTCAAAATCTAAGCCTCATATTTTATCTTCACTTTACAGGTAAAGAAATTGAGATTCTAAGAGGTAATGTTTATATCTGAATCAGTCAATTTAGACTTGTTAAGTCCTACAATGGAAAAATTAATGAAAAAACACACATCCAAAACCATAATGAAAACTGGTTCATAACCCTTTAGCAGCCTCCAATTTTTTTGAAAAAATAAGGCACACACAACACAAGTAGTAAAAAAGGCACATGCAGACACACATGCATAAGCTAAGAACAAGGAATGGGGTCGTCTCTTATTTGATCCATATCCTGGAGCCTAGGACAGTCCCTGGCACATAATGTTGCTCAAAATGTACTTAATTTTCTGAGTGATTATTAAGTGTCTGACATTATATTAAGTGTCAGAAATACAGAGACATGTAGAACACAATCTCTAACCTCAAGAATCTCATATGGGTTGGAACTGCTATAGAAAATTTAGAGAGAGCAATGAGCCTTGGAGAAGGGAGAAGATGCAGGCATGGATAAACAAAGCAAGATGAATGGAAATAAAAACAATATTGCAGATGATGACAAGGGGTGAGACACGGAGTAGACTTTATCCCCTAAAGCAGAGAATTTATGTGGGAAGGAGTGAGAGAAAAGGCTGATGGATTAAATAAAATTTATCCAATAACTTGGAAAGTTAATATGTGGAACAACCAACTAACACTATTTTAATTCTGAGAATGGACTTCAGAGAAGGTATTTATGTTGCAGTTAATTTAAATAGTGGAAATAAACTAGTTGGCTCATGGCAGTGGAATGTATTATGAGGATCATTAAGGAGTTATTCCACTACATGCCATTCTGTGATTACCATAACTTCCCCCAAGCATTTTCATCATCAATACAGGCCTTAGGGAAGTGCATAAAATTTATTTTATGGCAGGCATTAGGAAAAACAAAGTGAGCTTTATTAGGCAGTTTCTTGGATCTTCTTAATAGTAATGATCGAATATGACAGGTATTTTAACTAATGGTGGTTCTACCAATTGTGTGAATTAAAATATATAAAACACTGCTCTGGGGAGGTAAAAGAAGTCATTAAAGAATACTTAGGTGGGTTGGAAATGCCAGAAAGGAAATGTCCTGCTCTGGCCTGGAGAAGCTAGCTAACAGAATATAGGGAGATGTGGGGGAGTTGCATTTCAAAGTAATTTTCTCTATGATAAAACTGTTTTTAATAAGTATAATTGTATTCCCTTGTTGCAGATAGAATCCTTTAGTATATTACAATAAAATGTGTTCAAGGTAGATTATAAATGTTCTTATTTATAATATACACATAAGAATAAACAGTTTGGGAAAAAACAGTTAAGATTCTTCCCCTTTAGTATTCTGTTTTCACAAAATAAGAAATAAATGCATCATGAGATGACCTTGAGAATTTTAGCTAGCAGCTGAGAGTAGTCTACATTTAAATCCAGCCAGGCAATTTCAAGGTCTTAAACTGTCATTCCTTTGCTAGTCTTAAGTTGAAACATGTAGAGGATTTGGAGTCAGGCAGTTCTAGATTCCAATCCTAACTTTTCTACTGATTATCTGTGTGATCTTGGACACTTTGATTAACCTCTCTAATCTTAAGATGCCTACATTATAAAATCAGAATTAGAACACTTAACCACACAAAAGGTGGTTGTGACAATGAAATAAAATGAACAGGATGATGTATATAAATTGTGTAGCACAATGCTTTAGCTCAAAGTAAGTGAATGATATTAATATTTTGGTGTTACTATTATTAATTTACTGGACTAGGAATACTCTGAATTTAATCAAACTACCTATGTTTGGGTCCAAGATCAGCTACAAGTAAGGATTTTTACTCCCTCATCTAAATGGCAATGCTATGATGACAGTAATTTCCGCTTTGACTAAATCACAAGACTACAGGAGCTCCAAAGTTAATGTATGTGAAAACTATAGACTGTTAAACAAATTAAAGGCTTTTTCCCTTCTAGAGTACATACCCAAAGGAAAGACACTCAAGCATAAAGTCATATGCCTCTATTTAATGCACCATGACTATCCCACTACGCTGTTAGTACAAGGGAAAAGGAAGATCTACATAGTTTTTCAGTAGTGGTGACCTATTATGAATCTAGTTTTTAAAGTTGTATTAATATGTAGTCCTACTGCTATGAAGGTTAATTTTATAAACATCTATTAGTATATAATCCACTCAATTTTAAAACTTGACCCTCTACTAAGAAAATGTGAACATAAATAGACTATTTCTACTACAAAATTATGGAGACTAAATGTTTACTAATAACTCTCTTCAAAGATTAACATGAGAACAAACATACTTTTAAAAAATATACACAAAACTGGGATGCAGTTAAGGAAAAGACAAAATCCATTAAATTGTTGGGCAGCATCTAATTGATTTTGGAAGAGTGTCAAGAGTTAATTTTATATTTTGCATGTGAATTACACAAAGTCTGGAATTTCTAAGGTGACAAGTGTTGCTTGTATGAGAAATTACAGAAGTCCTGTCCAGAGCTCAGCGACGAATGGATGGACTGGAGGCCAGTGGGAATTATAACTCTAATTTACACTAATTTAGCCCCCCATGCTTATGTTTGTATATGAACCAAGTAAAAATTATTTCTTACCATGTAGAACAGATGGAATTTAAATATTCTCCCTGACCTGTACCTGATATCTTGGGTTAGAGGAAAAGCAACTTCAGGAAATTACTATAAGGAAACTGTGAGTTGGGTTAAAATATACTTTATTTCCTTATAATTAGAATACATATTATTCCTTGTTGATGTCTTTGAACTCCCGCTGGAATTCTAGACCATGAACAGGGTGTCATGGAGCTGGGGGATAGAGTCACAGTGGGCACAACTGCCAATAATGTTTAAACATTGTTATGATGGTTGGTTCAAAGTAAAAGTGGACAGATTGGAGTACAATGATAGCTTTGGTCTTGAGATTTGAAAGCAAAAGAAGATTTAAGAATTCAAATGTGTGCCGCTACTCCCCTTATCCATACAGCTGCTTGCATAGTTCTGTGCATACATGAAATAGGATTTGATAGAAAAGGATCGTGTGACTTTTTGCTCAAATATCAACTAACCTTTTCCTGTTTCTTCCTATCTGTAGTAATTACGCTTATCTGAGCTATTTCAGTGCAAAGCCCCTTTAAAATGATAAAGTGCATAATAATATATTGAAAAGAGCAAATTACTAAGGGGAGTTCAAGACAGGGGAAGCCATATATATATCTGTGCTGAAAGGAAAAGTTTAGCTCACTTGGGAGACAATACAACTTTGCAATTATTTTTTAGAACAGTTCAAAGATCTGCTCAGTTTATATGGCTTTTGACGTTGAGGATGAATGCCTAAAATATTTACAAGAGAGACTGACTGAGATTTTAGTAGGGAAAAAGATAAAAGCAGAGAATAGCAAGGATAAAGCAAATAGATACAGTATATGAAAATAAATAAGCATTGTTCCTTGGAAAACAGTTTAAAAAAATTCTCCCTCAACTAGAAAATGGGATGTTCAAGCTCTCAACTACTTAGAGTTGTAAACAGTGTGGGTGTGAAGCACAGTGAAGAACAACTAGACCTGTGAGGTTTCAACAAGAGGAGTGGGTGTATAACAAATAAAAATGCAAGATACAGCAACAGAAACAGAGGCACGCATGTCCATAGCATATAGGTCATGCGCTAGAGGGGAGCTAATCTGCAGTCGTGTGCACAAGGATCAAAATCAAAATAAACTATTTAACAAAAATGAAATGCTACACAAATTCTGTATAACAACATTTGCATGAAAAAAAACCCCACACAAAATGCAAAACCCAAAGTTCAGAGTGTGAAACCCACAGTCCATAGTGTGAAAAGTGTACCCTCCCGATGAACAGGTCTCCCCTGGGAGGAAAGGAGCTCCCCTGTAGGGACTGAAGGTGTAAATGGGCAGAAAGCTGTTCCAGTGCAGACTCTGCTCCCACAGAGAGGCAGGCACGTCTTCCCTGTCCACCTGCCAAGTGCAAGGAGCGAGGCTTTGGAGGGCTGGAGACACAGCCGCCCTCAGCAGCAGCTCCCTCAGAGCTGGCAGAGGGAGGGGCCAGTGTCATGCAAGGGCTTGAACATGACTGCTTTCTGCCTGCAGACGGGTCTGAAAACACCCACTTCCCACTTCTCCTTTCTTGGCTCCATCTCTGTCTGGTTTCCAATCATTTACTTAGTGTTAGATTTTTCTGGGTTTATTCTTCACAGCATGGAGAATCGAGCGCCTTTATAGAGACGATGTTATTTAGAATATTTACTAATTTAGGTTAAAAAATGCCAAATAAGGTTCTTTAGAAAATGATTATATGTAAATAAACATTGGAACCTGATACTTTAAATGTAAATTTATATTTCAAAACAAAAGGATGATGTGTTATCAAAAAATCAAAAGGAAACTATTCAAAGTCAGAAAAAATCGTATCTGAGGTACATTTGGATTCAAGATGACAGAGACGAGTTAGCAGGTAGGAGAGGACATCCTGATATGACTTGCTGGGTACAAATGCTAGGCCATGTGCCAAAAGAATCATTTCTATAAAATGAATCCAAAGAATAAAAAAGTTGTCAAGGTAAAAGGAAATCTTATAGAATTTTGTAAAGGAAATATGCTTTCTATTGCTTATATGTAATATATACATTTACAAAGAGATACATTCACATTTTGATAAATAAAATATTTTTAAATGAAGATCAAATGAAAATAAAATATTTTAAATGAATTCTATGAGCCAGTGATCATAATAATTCCCAGAAAAGAAATTTTTCAAAGAAATATGATGAATTATTACTATTAACAAAATTGTTCTTTTACTATTCTACATGGTTTACTTTCTGCTTCACATTTTCAAAAAGTTCCTTACCTGGGATGACTGTTCACCTTTTCATGTTTTCTGTTGAAGTTCAAATTACAGAGATTTTTCAATTTTAAATGTGAAGAGTCTGATTCCAAATTTGCTTGTGTTTGTTCTCTCACACATTCATGGAGTGTTGTCTCCTTTTTCAAGTTCATCTCCGAATATGGGCAGCCAAAAGCACTGGTTTGTAATAAAATGAGAGCACAGTTTGCAGTGCTAAATCAGTGACCATTGTCTTTGGAACAGACCTACATCCAATATTTAAACATTGAGTAGACATTCTCCTTTCAATGAACACACTGAAATAAGTTTCGTTTCATATTGTCCCTGGATAATATTTTTAGATTCTAGACACTGGTCAGCTGGTATTCTAGATAGATTCATCAGAATATATGATTTTTACAATTTGGGAAGCTTAAAAATCTAAGAACAACATAAATATGTGCTCCTAATGGAGTGATGAAAATATTATAGAAACACGACTCAAAGTTCCCTCCAATAATTAAGCCCTGATTTGACTATTTATATAAAAAATATTATGGTTAACTAAAATATTTACCAGTATCAGAGAATATTATGCTTTTGTTTCTTAACATTTATATATCCAGGAATACTATATCTGGATTTGGCTTAATCCTCCTGAAACTTGCTATGAAGTTATGGGTTTGAATGGGAAGGGGCACCTGTAGGTGAAAGAGGAGAGACTACAGTTAAGGCTGAACCCTGAATGCTGGATGTGGTTGGAGCCTAATGTCAGGTGTGGGCAGGAGGACTGGCCAGGACAAATGATCTGGCTCTTTCAATAGGCTGACTGACTATCGCTGTTAGACTTCTGTGTGCACACGCCTGTCTCCAAAGAGGCCCCAAAGCTCTGCTGCTGTTAGGAATGGGGCAGCCACAGTCAGTGAAAGCACAGGTGTGACAGAGGTCACCGGCACACAACCCTGGGAAAACGTGCCCTGCTGGGGCTTCAGGCTTCGTTTCTCTCCAGTGAAATGAAATTGAGTTCAACTCATTATGGTTACTGTGACCATCAATCTATCAATCTCTCTCTCTCTCTCTCTCTCTCTCTCTCTCTCTCTCTCTCTCTTACACATACACCACACACACACGCACACATGCACACACACATCATTACATGGCAGTTGCTATCATCACAGTGTTATCCACATCTAGAAAGGCACACAGTCAAATGAATTAATATTTAGGCAGGTGGTTCCTTTATAGAAATTCATTTCCTATTTACTGTAAATTTGCTGATACATGCTGCATAAGAAATTCTTTCTGAATATGTGAAAGCTTTCTTTTGTAATTTTAAGATCATGATAAAACCAAGAACAAATGCAGCTTTTCCTCTATTTTAAGGTAGACTGAGTTTCCCAGGGAGGGCCTAAAATCAGTCTAGCCTCAGAGGGTTTGTAGTACTAACCTACATCTGAAATTTGTGATGGAATGGTTAGGATGACACCAGCCGAGCCCAACATGTCTGGGAAAATCTGTACTGACATCAGGGTGGATCAGCAGCCTGTGCTACAGATAGGCCTGTCTCTTTATATGCATTTTCTATACTTTTTAATAATTGCCATTGATTTATTAGTTTATTCATTCATTGATTCAACAACCCATTAAATGAGCATCTGCTACATGATAAGCAATTTAGAACATATAAATCTAGTAAAGCTAAGACATATATACCAATGAATACAACTTATAATAAGAACAAAATAGCTACTCTTATTGAGTGTATACTATACGCCCATTACAATTCAAGGTGTTTCACATACATTATTTTAAAAACTTATTACTAAATACCCAAAGATAGTATTAGTATTACTTATTTTACAGGGGAGAAAACAGGCTCACATAGGATAAGCAACTTTCCTAAAGATGCCTGACACTTTCTTGGGTAGCTCCAATATTGATCACTTAATCTTTAGCACCAATCAGGTGAGCAGAAGCAGGACAAGGTTTTGAATACCACCAAAAAAGGAAAAGGGCACAGGAAAGAAAGAAGGAGTTTTTACCATAAGCTTTCTTCTAGAGGTTTTATAATTTAAGACCTTACATTTAAGTTTTTAATTCATTTTTAAAATCCTCACCCAAAGATATGTTTATTGATTTTAGAGAGAGGAAAGTAGAGAGAAACATCAATATGAGAGAGAAACTTTGATCAGTTGCTTCTTGTACACTCCGTGACCAGTAATCGAACCCACAACCTAGGTATGTGTTCTGACCGGGAATCAAACTCACACCTTTTTGGGCTTAAGGGATGACACTCCAACCAACTGAGTGACCTAGCCAGGGCAGTCATTAATTCATTTTGAGTTGATTTTTGGGTATGGTGTAAGATAAGAGTCCAGTTTCATTTGCACATGGATATCCACTTTTCACAATACCATTTATTGATGAGACTATCTTTTCCCCCTTGTTTATTCTTGGCATCCTTGTCAAAGATCAATTAACTGTATATACAAGGATTCATTTTTAGAATTTGTTCTCTTCCATTGGTCTACATGTCTATTTTTATGCCAATGGCATATTGTTTTGATTACTATACCTCTGCAATATAATTTGACATCAGAAGTGTGATGCCTCCAGCTTTATTATTCTTGCTGAAGATTGTGTATTCATAGCAAGTTATTGTGGCTATAGTCATTTTTAAACATTTTAAATTTAACTTTTTTGCTAAAGTGACTGATATATTACCATTACAGTATTAGAGTATTCTGAATTTGAATATATACTTTCTTTTAGTGGTGAATTTTATACTTTCATATGTTTTCATGTTGCTAATGCCAATATCAAGATGACATAGGTGCTAAAATTATCTTACAAGAATTGTAAAGCAGCCATAATAAAAATGCTTCATGACCGGCCTATATGGCTCAGTGGCTGAGCCTCAACCTTTGAACAATGAGGTCATGGTTCAATTCCCGGTCAGGGAACATGCCTGGGTTGTGGACCAGGTCCCCACTGTGGGGTGTGCAGGAGGCAGCTGATCAATGATTCTCTCTCATCACTGATGTTTCTCTCTCTCTCTCTCTCTCTCTCTCTCTCTCTCTCTCTCTCCCCTTCCTCTCTGAAATCAATAAAAAATGCTTTAACAGCAATTATTAACATACTCGAAACAATGAAAAATGGAAACAACAACTAGCCCAAGATATATAAGGAGAAAGAAAACATAGGAAATGCACCACTGTGTTGCTACTCCGGTCTTGAAGTCTCTAGTTGGTCTACTTCCTCCTCTCCACTTTTCAGAGCCTTCATATGTTTATTTTATATATAATGTCTAGGTATTAGTGAAAGTAATGAAGAAAAATATTATACTCCATTGTTCTGGAAGTAGAAGGCCCTAATGATCCTTTTAAAAGTTCCTCCAGGGCTACAAACCTTTCTTTACTCTTCTTTTAAAGGAAGAATTTATTCTACTCAACTAAAGCAACCAGGGAATCCTGAAGTAGTAAAAGATACTTTCAACAGGGCAAACTGAGTTTCAGTCCCCCTTCTACCACCAACCCTCACCTCTGCAGATCTTGGCTTCCTCATTCGTAACATGAAGAATAGCATTCCACTCACTAGGTCAACGTAAAAATTGCATTGAATGCAGAATGCGAATATAATACCTGGCTTATGTGCAATCAATAAAGGCTATTTCTTTCCAACCCTAATTTATCCCTCTATAATTCATAATACTGTTAGTTACAGGAATTCAATTTTCACATTGTAGATGCATTTCAGAAAAAGGAGGCATTATTTTGCCCACTCTCTTCTACTTGTTATAAAAGTATGTTCTTAGACCCAAGTTGTAAAATTTATCTGGATATGCATGAAGATATGCTTAGATATTTATATATTAATATATACTCACAAATATCTAAACTTTGTGTTCAATGCTAATGTTGACTTAATATCAACAGGACATTTAGATGTTGTTTTGGGATGCTCTTTCTTAAAGTGATAAATTCATAGTCACCTCAAGGAACCTATGGGCTAAGATTAGGAGTACAGTCTGTGTGATGGAAATAGCAAAACCAAACCAGCCCAAGTCAGAAAATAAAGCGTCCTTCAGCTGCCTGCGCTAAGTAGTCCCAAACACTAATAGATAAAAGAGGACTTAAGACGTCCTACTGTCCCTAGCAAATGATATGCTAGGGAGGGTTTGGTTTTTTTTTTGTAATACTACAAAATATACATTTAGATAAGAGGTGGCCTTTTATAATTTTACAGTATTCAAATAAAAATTCATCTGCAGGCTCAAATATGTATAGGCAGACTTCTTGTTAAAGAAGTTGATTGTTAATTCTCTACCCTCTAAATTAGTTACCACACCAAAGGCAATGTACTGCAATTTAGTGTGTGTAAAGCAATATTGTCCTAATTAGAAAAAAGAACCAACAATAGGAATCCTTTTTATATTTTGAAGGGAGCTATTTAAAAACTGGTTTTCCTTTGTTTTGTTCTTTTAATAAATAACCTTGAGATATTAAAGATGGGGGCATCAGGATAATTATGGATAAAAACAAATATCTCTTTCAAGAAAATATCATCAAACTATTTTTCTTACCATAAACTCTTCTAGAAGATTATTCAAGTCATTTGCTTTAAATAATTGTTGAGAATCAACAGGTAAAATACTTTATAAAAGTTGATCGGGTTATCTAATATATACACATGAAAAAGTTTATTCTGCTAAATTTAAGTAGTAAAATTATTTTTAAAATTAAAGAGAGATGTCATCAAAACACAATTCGGTTAGTCTAATATTCATAACTAGAGGCCCAATGCACGAAATACATGCATGGGTAAGGTCCCTAGGCCTGGCCAGCGATCAGGGCCGATCGGGGCCTTCCAGCTGCCGGCTGGGGCCTCCCTTCCCCGGCTGCCAGCTGCCAGCTGGGGCCTTCCTTCATTCCGTGCCACCTCCTGGTGGTCAGCGTATGTCATAGCTAGCGATCAAACTCCCGTTCTCCCCGTTGAACTCCCAAGGGGACACTTTGCATATTAGCCTCTTGTATATATAGATATTACCAATAACAGGTTATGCTTCTATAGTTTTTACTCTTATAACCCTAATTTAAGGTCTTTTTTATGTTAAATCATTTGGTTCTCACAATATCCTTATGAAATAGGGATTATTATGATTTGCATTTGACTGAGGCACAGAGAGATTAAATAAGTCA